ATGGATGGATGCTAGGGGGACAGATGATGGATGCTGGTTTGACAGATGGAAGGATGGATGGACGGACCGAGGATAGATGGATGTTTTTTTTTAAGGTAGTAACCTACTTTATCTAACTGTTCTCCAGGTTCTTAACAACTGGAAAAAATTTAAGTTCTTATTTTTTCTACTCTCAATTATTAAAAACCATAAGGAAACCTCTCTGATGACTTCCAGCAAAGGAAGGAAATGTTAAAAATATTGGACGGTCAGGTATCAGATGTTGTAACCAGATCATCCCACCTTCATGTGAGACTTGAGATTGTCTTTGCGAGCGCAGCGGAAGGGACACAGCGGACACTGGTGGCTTTTCAAGCCTGTGTGGATGACCATGTGTCTCTTCCAGTAGCTCTTGCGTTTGATGACCAGTCCGCATACAGGACACTGGAACGGTTTGCCTCCATCCTCAGGAGAACCTAAAAGAAGAAGCACAAAGTTTAGGAATTACACTGAGGTTTTCCTAACAGTAAGGTAACAGATTTATTTTAGTTGAGATTTTCTAGTAACTTGATGCAGAAGTGAGCAGAATTACTGAGGTAAAGAGGGATAAAAGCCTTCAAAGAAAAAGGGCCCTTCTTATGCAGAGAAACTGAGCCTTTAATGACAGAACGAGTTTTCAGAGGGAATGAAAACCTCGTTTTCACTAATGATTGTTCCCAACTAAAGCACCACAGGCACAATTAGCCAATCGTAGGAATCTGGTTTCTAGGAACTTCTAATTAGTAATCCATGACTGTGTTTCCCTGGGGTATAAATAAGACACGACACTCTCTTAGCCTCTGGCCACAGACTGGATGATGAGCTGAGCTTATCTAGAGACCAAAGTCATTGAGAAGGATGGACAGAGAAATGACAGCAGGTTTGGGTGGATCAGTGGTTTTCAACCTTTTTTGACGTTTCTACCCCTTTGGGAGTTCTGTCAGACCATGAGTGACCCTCTCAGTATTGACAATTGCTAAAAAGTAGAATATATAATAACCTCTAAAAAAAATCAAAAGTATTTTACTTAATACTTTTAACTTGAGCATTTAATTCTCTTGCATTTTATTCCTTCCAACTCAAATAAAAAAAAATTTAAATAAATATGTTTTCTTGAAGCTAGGAAGAAAAAAATAAAATAAAATTGCATTATAAACCTGTATTTATAAAACTGGAGCTCCTCGGAGTAACTCCCTTATGATCCCATTTAAACTTAATGAATCGGAGACAAATTATTATAAATCACCTCCTGAAACACTTTTATAACATTTAGATATAATTATCTTTTCAGTTAAAGTAATAATTTTATTTACCACTCTAGATGTTGGATGTTTTGTTCTAGAAAACTGCAGCGTTTTGATGAAAGAGTTGAACCTCTGACCTTTAAGGTTTCTCTAATGTGGAATAATTTAGAAATCTAAAATTAGCGATAGCAACAAATGCTCTAGTATGCAAACTGTCAAATCAATACTTCATCAGGATATTTATTGATGCTTTCAGAGTACCAATATTTCTAACAGCCCCAGTGCTGATAGTAAGTAATCGTTGAATGAGCTGCTTGATGAAAGAGAAGACAAACAGTACAGCTGAAAGAAGCCACATGTCCACTGATAGGTATGGTAGAGGCAGTGTGATGAAGTGGGTCCAATGACTATCCTACAGGCCTTGGAATGATGCTAGAGACTGGAATCTATCCTGAAAATCTGTTATCTGCACAATGATCCAATAAGACAAATCCAACAAGGAGACGAGTCGACAGACAGATTAACTGTCTTCTATGAACATCTCCTTCCTCTTTTCGACCCGGCTGCATACATGCTCGATTCTGTTCGACTCAAACCATAAGGACTTTGGATTTTAATTCAAGATCAAAGCTGTGAATATTTCACTTAATCTATTAATATCCTTGTTTGTTCTAATGTAGAATAAAATGATTCCCACCAAGGAATAATATAACTATGTATTTCCGTTACTGCTGTCGCTCATCAGACCCACCATGAAATTTACTCAAATGTTTGACTAAACATTAAAGACTTTAGTAATAACTATTTAAAAGAGAAATTCACAGGGAGTGTGGATGTTTAGGATTAATTTAAGAAGGATTTTTGATCATGTTTCATTTTATTGTGACCTGAAGTTGGGGGCACTACTTTTGGTCTCCATTCTGTCTCAGTTCAGGTGCCTTAACTAAAACGCTGCCTGTGGACCATAGGGATGCTCATTAGAGAGGGGAGCGGTGGAGAAGAACTGGGGTGAGGATGGACCATAGATCCCTCTCTGATCCTAAAGAAGAGTTATCGGATCTGTCCTGTGGCTGGGGGTGGTCATAGAAACCGTTGACAGCAGGTAACCAAAGGCTGAACACTCAAAGATCACCGACTTAAAGGTTGGACGATGATGCTTTAATAGAAAGCTGATGTTTTTTGAGGTTTCTCCAGCAGAGGATCTGATGACTGTGGCGCCTGTTGTTAGAGACGGAAGAGGAGATCTGTGCGCTTGATGATGGGAGGCATTGAGGGGCACAGCAGCTAGAAGCAAATGGAACGATGAGGAGAAAAACTCGGCCTGTTTTAGTGTCTCGATTATTGTTGTTGGCTTCATATCCGGCATCCATTACTGTTTAATTGGTCTTATTAGAAAGAGGCATGATTGCATTACAGATTCTACAAGGGGCCTGTCAGGACGGCTTCATAAGTATTCCAGCGCCGTTCCTTGAAAAACATCTGGTAATCAGTGTTTGGTGAAATTACTGCGCTCAGCCATTCATTGACCTGAGGTGTAAAACCTCTAGACTGCCTATTTGCAACAATAAACCGCCATCTGCGGCCCAACCCCTCTGAGCTCAGCAGAAATAAAAATAAACAGGATAGATGCTTCCTCAGGTTTGAACAGGAGGAACGTTTGTTCCTGAACGTGTCTGAGCTCCATGCGATGCTTCTTCTAAACAACTCGGACAGGACAGTCCGACTCCACATCCAAGGTCACGTTTTCCGCCTACAGACCAAGCCAGTACCTACAGATTTTATGGCGCTGCTTGACCTTGACGGCAGCCTGGGTTAGAGCAGACCCACATCCTTTTTAGCATGCGGATCACAAAGTATTACATCGATTGCTTCATCCTTTCTGAAGTCAATTTGATCCAGCCATTTTAGGTTTGGCGGGGTGGTGCCCATCAATCTCTCTGAAAGCATTTGCTTCTCCCCTAAGACTACTTAGAGTCCCCAACCAGATCCTTGTGTGCACCATTGTTTGGGTTACGTGTCTACATCTGAGTGTACGCTTGCCAAGTGTACTGCATGAGCAACACAGAGAGGGAGAGGGGGTGCAGGCATCTGTATCCAGTCAGTGGAAACTATGATGTGTTTGGCCTTAAGTCCACAGTGCTGATGAGTGCAGAGGGCTCTGGTAAGTGGGGGCTGCAGCCAGGAGGAGGCTGCTGAGATGGATACGGACTCCAGGGCGCCCCGCTGAGCCGAGCACACACTGCCGACCCCCTTTTGGCAGCACGCACATCCGAGCGCAAGCGAACTGGTTTAGGGGAGGCAGCGAGGTCTGAGCCGGAGCCCCCCCGTGGAGCCGCAGGCCATTTCCCATACTGTAAGGCCAGCAGGGCTGTTTTCTCTGCTGGGCTGACAGTTAGAGCTGAAGCTACACTACCACCACCGCGGCGCCGCTGAAGTGAGAGCAAAGCTATGAGCAAACACCAGAAAACATGTCAGAGAGGTTCAGAGCTGTGCTTTTTCTGGGAATTTCAGTGGGAGGAAAAAGGAACTCAATCTCCACGAAGGTTAACTCACTATTTGACGGAAGTCATCATTTTCAGCACTTCTGATCATCAGTTTAATACAGAGAATTTTTCAGATTCAGTACAATTGCTTTTCAGATTTTTAAAACAGCTTAAAGTAAAATTCAATGTCACAAACGCTTCTCTTCCATGGATGTAATCTAAATGTTTGGAGGTCAAATCCCATAGAAAATCATAAAGATTAGGGTGATGGCAGGGAGGGCTTCCAACCTAACACACCCCACCCCCAAAAAAAGAAGTAAAAGCTGGTCAATAGTTTGATATATTAAAATTGCTATATTTAATAATATATATAAAATCCTGGAGTGAATACAGAACTAAAAATATCTTGGAAAAATGCCAATGTTTGTGTGGCAAAAATCTATAAATAAACCATGAAATAAGTAGAAATAAGTAAATTCATTTGAATATGAAATAAACAGTTAAATTATAAAACATCCCTTTAATAATGAAATACATTTAAAATGATTAAATATATAATTAAAGGCCATTTTGAAATTAATATAACTTTATATTTTTAAAGTAAAAATGTGGATTTTTGGGTCCCAGGCTGGATTGTTTGGAAACTAAACTAAGTAAATCTTTTTGTGTTAATGTTACTATTTAACCTCAATAATTGGACCTTGTGAACTTCAGGGAAAATTAGTTTTAAATGGGAAAATTTAAATTAAATAAAAAAATTAAAAACCAAAATAAATTCAGTGCTCACAACATTATGATCTCATTAATACTCTTCTGCTAACAAAAGATCTTTAGTAAACTCCTCTTTCATTTTCATTTTACAGGGTTTGAACCCAGTGAAGCCGAAGTTCTGGACAGAGAATATTTACAGAGAAAAGAGTAGCAATAACTGTTTAATCAAAACCATGAATTTTCTAAATAAAACATCCACAGATCATCTAGGTCCTGATCTACAAACATTCAGAATAAGAGGGACTAAATTTCTTTATTAGTACCGATTGTTTGACTGGCAGTTTGAGAGCGACTGTAAAAGAAAGATGAGGTTCTAAGCCATGGAGATAAAAATAATTCAATATATTATTTATAGTAAAAAACAATAATATTGATAGTAAACCCATCGCCGATCTCAAAGTGTTACAAACAAAACTTCAATGAAAAGTAAATATCACTGTACGGAGGACGGTGATGACAGTTACTTTTTTATTAAATCAAGGCAGAAGTAAAATCCCAGTGGTGAAGAGAGGAAACTTTACTGTGAGTGATAATGTCTCTAATATGATCTGAATATTGATGAAGCCAAACACACAAAGGTGTTGAATGCTGTCTGATGAATTGCAAACAGACCACTTTGCCCCTTCTTTGATGATCTGCTTAGTGTATGAAGATGTCTGCGCCTGTTTTACATGTGAAAACCTTCTGAAGTTCAGTGGCGCAGAATAAAAGTATTAGTGTTAGTGGCAAAAATATATAGCAGCTTAATAATTGTTTCATAAATGTAGATGGGTTCAAAACAGATAAAGCTTTATTTCTGGTTCTCGTCAACATGAAAGGATTCTTTACCAACAGGAAAACCCTTTAGCTTCCTGGGAGAGATGAAACAATGGCTCCTTCAACACCAACCAAAACAAAGTTTAACATCAATCAAATTTCAGGCCATTTGTGTCGATTTAAGGAGGCAAAGAGGGTCTGAGGGAAGGCTGAGGTTGGCGCTTTCCCTCTGAAAGGGTAGGTTAAATATTTAGATTTTTACCAGCATTAGCATTAGCATTGCTGGACCTGGCTGGCAAATGGAAAAAGAGCTTTTTGAGTATTGACCATTTACTATTTACCTATCATGGATTTCCTCCAAACAATAATGATACAGGATGTTTGACCCTTTTAAAATCTGTTTGGGACAAAGTGACCTTCAAGTCTTTCAGATTAACTTATTCAAAGTTTAATGTATTTAAACACGAGGAGAGAATCTGTTCAGAAACGTTTCAGAACTCAAGGCTTCATGGAATCAGAGATGAGGATGTAATATTTGGAAAGGTACCAAATATAATCCCCTCAGATTACCTGCTTGGTTGTTCAGTTTGCCTCTGCCCTTCGGCGTCGATGGCAGCAACAACTCCAGGGTCTGCGTAGGTGTGGTGGGCGTCGGGGCTTTCTGGTTCTTGTCCAGCAGGGGCTTCACATCCTCTTGGAGGACCCCTGCGTTCGACAGCGGGGAACCGTCCTTCTTTTCTGCCAGAAGGTTTCCTGCCGCTCTGGCTGCCACCTCTTTGAGCAAGGCAGCAGAGGAGGTGGTGATTGAAACGAGGGACAGGAAGGAGCTCGCCGAAGCTTGGTGGTCCGAAGCAGCGCCAGCCGTCGAGGAGGCCTGGCTCCTCTCGCTCACTTTCTTGGAAAGTGCGGCGAGGGTTGAGCTCGCCGACTGCGGGCTGAACGGAGAGTTGAAGGCATCAAAGCGGACCACGTCGTCCCCTCGACTGCCGCCACCAAGAGCGGGCACCGCGGCTGACGCGGCAGTGGACGAGGAGGAGGTTGTTGAGGAGGAAGCGATGGCGTTCTTGTCTTGGAGCACAGCGTTAGCCGCTGCTTTTAGCTTCTGGATGGCAGAGTCTGGGGAAAGGCTGGAGCCACAGGGCGTGGAGCAGGAGGCTGGCGGCCATTTATCGGACACGCCCGCCCACACAAATCCACCTCCGTTGCTAGGGGTGACATTATTAAAGGGGTCAAGGGGCTCTTGCTTGATGTTGGTGACTGAGGGAGCCAAGGAGGCTGGTGAGGCAGAACCACTGCTGCTGTTATTGGCCAGTTTCCGGGCAAGAGCACTTAACTGCTGGGCGTGATGGGAAGACGGGGAAAGGGTCAGAGGTGGAGCCAGAGCAATCGGAGGAGACTCTCCCCCAGAATTTCCCCTGGATGACCGACCCAGCACTTCTCCACCATCAAGTTTGAAGGAGCCAGCCTCTAGGAGGCGCCGCAGGTTGCTGCTGAGGGGTTTCCCCAGGGCTCGAGATGCCGCCTCGCCATACAGTGACGACACGACAGAGGAGAGAGTGTCCTGGGCCGAGAATGCACTTCCATCCAGGCCGAGAAGTTCCAAAGAGGCACGACGGACGGGCGTCCGGCAACCCAGTGAGCCCTCGCCTCCGCAGGCGTCGTGATCCCCGGAGCTGACCCCGGGATGATCCTCAGGAGAGGAGCCTCTGTGCAGGAGCAGCTCATCCTGCGTGTCTCCGAAAGACGACGAGTCGGACCGCGTATCGGAAGTGTTCCCGAACCAGCCTTCCTCCTCCACAGCACCGTCATCAGGGCCCCCTTCCTCATCGCCGTCCACGTCTGCAAAAAAAAAAAAAGTTTACGAGACAGAACAAGCTGTTTTTTATTTTTTTTTTTTTTTTACAAATTTACTTTAATTTGGGGGATTTTTTTGTCCCTTTAGATTAAATTCAGTCCAGGACCCCCAACCAGCCTTCATTTGTCAACTATTCATTAAAACCTCAATCTATTACTGATCTGCGGTCTGCTGACAAACTCGCTACCTCTACTTTCTGTTTATTACATCCGGTAATAAACTTGGTCGCCTGAATAAATCACTCCAATAAATGAAAACTTGTTAAATTCCCTTGTCTTATTCTTGACATTTATGACATTTTTATGGAAGAAAATAATGGTGTGCCCAAAGGCAGCTGTGGCTACAATGCAGCTCAACACCGTCAGTGTGTGAATGTCTGTAAAATGGGGGACAGACCCAAGTCCAACTGAACGAGTATCAAGACCTGCTATTATTAAACTCTCTCCAGCCAGTTGGAATCTGAGCTATGGGCTCTCAGATTTGTTCAGTAGAGACCTGTCCTAAGAGTCTTCTCATCAAAGAACGGATGTCACCAAACTTGACAAATGTTGGATGAAACCGAACGCTTCAAACTCCACCACCGACACTTATACTAAGGTAAACACATGCGCTCCACCCAGCAGACGGAGAGAGCAACCTTTGGAGGCATGGGGGCTGGTCTGTGGAGCCAAAAAGGCCGATCATCAGAGAATATTTTTTTTTTATACTCAAACAAAAGCAGAAGGTTGCTTTTCCTCTCCACTGTCGATGCATGCATGCTCAGTGCGAGAGATTGCTGTAAATATCTACTACCTCTACTTGCTCATCCATGAGGAGAGGATCCTGTAAAGTCAGGACTGGATGCAATCTGCAGGGTTTCCTTCTATAGAAATCTAATTCTGTCTGGATGATCTGATTGAAATATTTCTATAAACTGACCTGAAATAATATGTGTTGTAAATTGGTGTTTATTGATAAACTGAAATAGAAAGATGATAAAAGAGTAATTTGTGTTATAAATTGGGTTCCACTCCCAAACATACCCCCCTGGTTAGGTTTTTAACTCTAAAATGCAACAAAATTAGACAAAGATAAAGAAAAGGAAGAATATAGAGAGAAAGGTAAAAAGAAAAGAGAAGGAAAACTTTTAACCTGTTTCTCGTCAGCAATGTTCTATCGTCGATCCCACCCAAAGACCAAACTGGTGGGGGAAACACTGAAATGCACACCGCACTCTTCAGATATTCCTACATGAATGAAATCTGCACATCATTTCTCTCCACTTCACAGCAGGGCACTACTTCATGGATGCCTTTCCCGCCGAATCCTGACTAAATACAGTCTGGGTTGTGGTCCTACTCATGGATTTTAGCCTTTTAACGAAGCAGCTTTAAAAGCTGCACTCCCCAGGAAGATCTACATCACCTCTTATAATCAAGGTTTTTCCAGATCAGATGTTCAAGATATCTTTTTGGTGTAATTCGGTTTTTCTGTCCTTTTTCTCTTTTCTAAAAAAAAAAAAAAACACGTTTTCTCCCCCTTGGTCAGGAAGAGCCTGGTAAAGGGGTTACCATGACGACGGTCCTTCTGGGAGGCTAGGCAGCGAAGATTAGGGTAATGGAGGTTACAGAACCAGATAAATATTCATGAGCCTGCAGATACCACCAGGGAGCCAATAAGGATAGGGTTAAGGTCACCAAGGGTCATTAATATACACTTCATGTATCAATATTCATAAGCAAAACATTACAGCTTGCCAGACAAGGGCGAACAAAGAAAAGTGAATATTCCTGATACATATTAACAAACCAGGAGAAGAAGAAGTCAAAAAGCACCTCGTCGGGGCAAAGCCAGATGTCAGAACTGGACTTTTCTCAAACACAGAGCAATAAGTGGAGGTTTATAAGCAGACCTGGGGGGGGCTGATGGAAAACAGACAAGCACAACCTCTTAACCCCCCCCCCCCCAAAAAAGAAAACTAAACATAGTGGATCAGCACAGCCCTCATTGTCTTCCAGTGGTTTGCTGCTTGTTTCCAGCAGGAGCTTCTGTTCCACATTAGACCAGCCAGGCCCACTGAGATCCACCACGGGGACCAGAATCAGAACCGGCCAGGACGGCTGCTCTCAGATATCAAACACTGATATTCTTCCTCTACATCACTCCTAGTCCCTGCCTTCGCCGCGGCGCAGCATCTGCTGACAGCGATGGACACGCAATGCGCGACCTTTCACAGAAACAGAAAACATGTGACTGTTACGAAGCTGAGCAGGAACACCAGGGCACACTGATCCAGCTCCGTTCCCATGCAGCCAATTCACCACCTGAACATGGTTAGCAAGGATAAAGAGAGGGAAAAGAGCCTGCGAGTCACACAGGCCATGACTCGACCTATTTCCATGTGACACGTGAAAAGCAGTCAGAGTCACTAATGGCTGTAATACGGTTAGGGGGAAATAGCTGGATTGCTGACCTGAGGCTTCGGCTTCAAGCCTGAGCTCTCTTCCTTCGCTCTGAGATGCAGCTGAGCGCCGCACTAAACCACCAGACTTCTGGCTGAGTGCTAAAGTTCACTGGTGAACTTCTCTACTGTGGCTCTGTGTGTCACAGGCGGGCCAACCCTGTGAGCAAACTGACATTTTCCAAGGTCCAGGTCACTGACCCAACCTCTAAGGGGACAGCATCCAAACCTTGTGCTGCAGAATGCTGCTAAAAGAAGTTCATAGGAAGGAAAAACAACAACATGCAATAAAACTTTAGGCTCCTGTAGAACCAAACTTATTTTACATTTATTAGGGTCCTTTTTTGGCACAAACTGACAGCTATATTGCATGCTGATTGACTCTAGGGAGTGTAGTCTAATCTTGATTCATCATAATTGAAACAATCCTCAACAATTTGGACCCCAACGGAACCGTTACCCAGACCAACAGTTCAGACACTAAACCTGAACATTTGCTGAAAGAATAACCTTTTCACAACAGCATAAAAACAGAATAAACAAAAAAAGATTTCCAATTTTTATATATATATATATATATATATATAAATATAAAACTAATATAGAATACATAGAACAGTGAAGTAGTAGTCAGGTCTGTACATCTGTTGCAGGTGTTCTTGGTAGTTTTTCTGAGGTTTTTTTATTTAAATACATATAACTATATCACATTGACTAAAATATATGCTGCTATCAGTTTTTGGTCTTATCGTTCAGCTCAGCGTTCAAATAATAATAACCATTGTGAGTTTTTCATGTCAGACGCTGATTGCCAACATCCCATCCTGATTATTTAGCCGTAGTTTTTCCTTGACCTCCATCTTATTTCACATGAATCTAAAAGTTTTCTTTGAAATTACAGCAGATTTTGAGAAAGGAATAAAGCTTAAAATCCCTAATTAGATTCAATCAGCTGTTTTTTCTTAGATAGAAAAAAATGAACCTTTAATGGGACTGGAAAGATGACATGTGAATCAGCAGCTGTAGAAATAAATTGAATTTATTTATTACTTTACAGAACGTGAAGAAAATGGGATTTTCCCTTGAAAACAGCATTGTCTGCATTTTTCCCAGAAAACCACTTTTTTTTCTTTTCTTTTTTTTTTTTAACCGAGAAACACTTGAGGATTCAGTTTTCCTGTGAATCAGAGAGCTGACTTTTACTCCAGCGCCTGAGTGGAACATGTTTCAGGGCCCACTTCCCTTCAGATTATTAGGATGTGAACAGAGCTGTGAAGGGCCCCGTCTCCTGACGCTGGACGGTACCAACTGAAGTCCAGGACCCACAGGAAGCTGAACATCTGTTAGCTGATCAGTGGCAGAGTTGTCGGCATATTGGCAGGCTTATTGTATTTTCTTCTACACATTTTTTCTCCAATTCAGCTTGTGCTCTGTTTTACTGCCCGAGTTCAAGAACAAGGATAAGCTCAACAACTAACCTGGATCTGTTAGTTTCCTATTGCTCTACTACATCTACTGCACCTTTAAATGACTGAAAACGGGAAAAAAAAGTTGGTTTGGTCGCTGTGTTTGTTGGTGCAGGGCCTGGATTTGGGGAATAGTGAGTCAAAAGGTGATCTATGAATTTTTTCCTGAAACTTATTGCTCATTAGATTTTTATAATCAACACAATGATGCTTATTCTGGTCCTTTAAGGTCCGTGCATGACTCCTAAACTAAACCAGTTGGTTTGTTCTTGGAGTCAACTTGATTCTACAGGTGTCACCATATAACCTTTTCCTTTCAGACACCATTACTGACCCGATAGAATACCAGTAGTTATTTATTAGTGAGGAATGTTAGCAAAGGCTTGAAGAAGTGATAACACTAAATACAGAGAACAAGTAAAAAACAGCTGGATCTGTTCTGTAGCCTAAGTGTTACAGATGCGTTTGGTTTCCATCAGCCAGATTTTAGATCCAGGGCGATAGATTTCCATTAGTTTTATATTTCAATCATCCAGATTATCTATCTTAACATTGAACCCTTACTTTTTGCATCACTATTGTTGTTGCTGTGAGCAGAAACTCTTTGGTCGGAGCTGGATGTGAGATATTCCTAAAATCTGCATTCATACATCTCAGTACTAAATGCACTGATTTGTTATTTGTATCAGTATTAGTCCCGATTGTGTAGAAAATTCTAGATTTGGTCTTTGGTCTAGTACATCCAGGCAGTTTGAACCCTTACAGCTGATATTTGTTGTAAGGAAGAAATCTGTCCTGTTAACAGATTTACTGTTTCTATGACTTTATATGGATCTAAAGCCTTTTAGGATATCCATCGGTACCTTCATACAGAGATTTGGGGTTAGAAAAGGATCTGCAGAGATCCAAATTCAGGTATTGGAATCAGAGGTGAGATGATGTGGATTGTTGTCCCTAACCCTTATTGGTCAAATCTACAATGTTTGGTGAACTTTTAGATACATCCAGTTTGAAGTGGTTGGTCTACAGGTGGAGCTGAGGTCTGTTGTTACATCCTGGGTCTAGGCAGTTTAACCTTCCCTCCAGCCCTCTGTCATGTTTCTGTCATGTAGTCAGAGGCTTGGCTTGGTGACAGTAACCACACACCCCAGCCGCCCCGGGTGATGAGGCGGCGAGCGTCTGCCACAGAGAGAGGGCCGTTTAGCAGTGTAATGGCGGCGATGACTTGCATGTTGAGACAAACAGCTGCAGTGTGCTCAGCCGTCAGGATCTGTTAACGCTCACAAGTGATTCATTGGTGCAGAGCAGAAGGATGGTCTTTCTGGGCCACAAATAATGCATGGCATCGTTACTTTATGGACAAAGACCTCAGACGCTGGGCTGAGTCCAAACGAGGTACGAAAGGAACGAACAGGGACTGAAAGCAGCTGTGATGCAGCAGGTCTGAGACGACCGAAGCTGATAAGATGACATGTTACACAAACCAGCAACAGAAAAGAGGGGAGATTATCAGACTTCAGAGTCAATCATTGGCTATAAACCTAAAACAGTTATCAATCACCAATAAATCTCTATGTCAAGACTTTAACGTGTGATGCTTGCAATATCTTTACATACTGATAATAGATCACATCAATAGATCCTATTATATAATGCAATAATTGATGGACATGCCATGAATAAATCAATTCTAACTCGAGTCTCATTGCAGAAGATGCTCTGACCCAGATGATGCAAGAACCCAGTTTTTAAATCTACTGCAGCCAAACTCTTCAGGAACTATTTAGAGATGTTTCTCTGTTTGTTGAGGACAGAATGCTTTTCTCAACTATTTCAGCTTGAATTCAGGTCAGCAGCCTGAACAAAGTCCACATTCAATGACCTGCAGCTTTTAATGGGCAGAAACTTCTGGCATCAGCTGAACCAAAGTTGGACTCAACTGAATCTGCATTCATTGAAAATGAAATGCATTAGTTAAAAATAATGTCAACGAACCTAAACTATATTAAGTAAAATTAAAAGTTTGTTTTTCTGAAATGGTAATGAAAATTGTCCTTTTTTCATTTCAATTCTATTATTTCCTTTCAGTTTGAAAATTCAGTTTATTTACATCAGAAAACCAGTTCCTACAGCCACAGAGTAATCAAACCCAGATTACTCTAAACCTGAGTACTTTAACCCAGAGTACTTTAACCCAGAGTAATCTAAGCCAGAATGCTCCAACCCAGAGTAATCAAACCCAGAGTAATCAAACCCAGATTACTCTAAACCTGAGTACTTTAACCCAAAGTACTGTAACCCAGAGTACTCTAACCCAGAATGTTCCAACCCAGAGAAATCAAACCCAGAGTAATCAAACCCAGAGTACTCTAACCCAGAGTACTTTAACCCAGAGTAGTAAAACCCAGTGTGCTCTAACCCTGAGTACTTTAACCCAGAGTAATCAAACCCAGAGTACTCTAAACCCAGAGTAATCAAACCCAGAGTAATCAAACCCAGAGTACTCTAAACCCAGAGTAATCAAACCAGAGTAATCAAACCCAGAGTACTTTAACCCAGAGTACTTTAACCCAGAGAACTCTAACCCAGAGAACTCTAACCCAGAGAACTCTAACCCAGTGAACTCTAACCCAGAGTACTTTAACCCAGAGAACTCTAACCCAGAGAACTCTAACCCAGAGAACTCTAACCCAGAGTACTTTAACCCAGAGAACTCTTAACCAGAGTAATCAAACCCATAGTACTTTAACCCAGAGAACTCTAACCCAGAGAAATAAAACCCAGAGTACTCTAATCCAGAGTATTTTAACCCAGAGTACTTTAACCCAGAGAACTTTAACCCAGAGAACTTTAACCCAGAAAACTCTAACCCAGAGTAATCAAACCCAGAGAAATCAAACCCAGTTTCTAGACATCCAGGTAAAGCCTTAGAAGACATTACCTCTTCATGTCCTCACAATAATTCTAGAAACATGGATTGATTTTGGCCAGATGAAGGAAAATAAAACAAATCATATTAAAAGTACAAAAAATAATCAAAAGATATTTTAAATTAATTTCTACCTTGAAATCTGAAAACAAAGGGTTCATACAAACTATTTAAAAAAACAGCTGAACAGAAATCTAAAAACTACATTTTAGAAAGCATGTATGAAATAAAAAAAGAAAGGCACTAAGCTCAGTCGAGGGTTGGACGGGGTGGTGGAGCAGTTTACAGATTGTTTGGCTTGGAAACAAATAAATATTTCTTGAAATAAATATATTTGCCTTTTAATTCGAGCTGGTCAAAAATCATCTGCCAAAGGATTGAGCATTTGGTCTCTAAAATAAGAATCCAGAAAAAGATTAAAAAACACTTAAGATAATACACAGAGAGGAAAGATGATCTTTGAGAAGCAGATCTATGCGGTGTCCACTGATAGGGGGTTGCTTGCAGGGTGTCCTTTAAAACCATTGAGGTAACATCAACCTAAGCTCCAATATGGAGGTTTAACAAACTAAAAATTATACATTTTCTGCCTCTGTTACTGTTTCTGCAGACGGTCCTAGAAAAATGTTAGAAAAGGCATTAAAAATGGCGTCACCGACCCCAGGCTGCAGGGGGGGAGAAGGCGAAGGCAAGAAGGGAGAGATAAGGAGTTGAATGAGGGAGGGGTTGATTTGGCTGGGCAGGCAAGAAGAAGAGGCCATTAGCCGATTAGGGTTGGGAGGGGATGCATCAATACTGCGCTGATGTCAAAAGAGCGTCCTGCCTGTGAGCTAATAGAAGAAAGAGGGACAGACCTAGAGACAGGGAGAGGTAGAGCGGGTCAGCCAGTCACTAAAATCTCAAAGACTGCTGACCGCAAAGGCACCGCAAAGGCCCACAGAGCGAAGCCACGGCGTACTCAGACTGAAGCCATCACATTTACATGACCAACACGATTAGCCTCCCTCTTCTGCCAAGGCGACGAGGCCGACGGTGCTGTGTGGGCACGTCTGTGCCTCCATGAGTGGGTAAAGGGGGTGAGGACACAGGAAGGAGAGCAGGGAGCATGGAGGTAGTGCCCAAGAAGCTTTGGTGGTAATTAAGTGTCCAGCTGAGCCCTGCTGGGCTGTGCCACGGCCGCAGGCTATGCTAATGAACAAGCCCAACAGCCAGCGCCCGCTGGACAATATGGTGGAGAATTACTCCTCAACAAATGACTAACAGCCGTCCCTATGAGGAGTTTAATTTTATTAATTGGTACACATTGGATAATACCCCCCCCCCCCCCCCTTCCTTTTTTTGCATAATCTGTCACCTACTTGATCCTTTCTGCTGGATTCTTAACCACTTCTCCACTTAAATATCCGCCTGCCTTCCCATTAGTGCCAAACAGCAAACAATAAAATCAGACGTTAAACAGAAATATTTGCCCTCCATCATTTTAATACAATTTTCCCCATGAAAATCACCACCTTAATATTCCTGATCATTTTCAGTACAAGTTGATGAAATCTGACAACCAACCAATGGTGAATCAAGCTGGTTAGGGCTGCAACTAAGGATTATTTTTGCAAATCAATTAATCTTTCTATTATTTTATTATATTTAAGTTTTTTTTTACAGAATGAAACCAAGCAGAACTAAAACTTTTCCACTTGTGGAGTTCTGAATAGAGCATATTGACATACGAACGTTTGTTTATCTTAAATGCAAAATGCTTACATATTTTTTTTTTTTTTTTACAATTTTTGTATAAGTACTGCTACTAGTTGGCTGCTCTTTCAGCTAAAGGCATGTTTTAGAGTCTCTATACTCTAGTTAACAATTACAAAATTAGTTTTACGATTACTAAAATAATTGATTAATCATAATTTATCCAATTAATTGTTTCAGCCCTAAAGCTCATAGGAAGCAAAGAGGGATTTCAGTTAAGATGAAAACTATCAATTTAGGGGAAGAGAACATCAAAATAATTAGAAAAATATGTTGTTTTTTTTACAAATATTAACAATAAGTTTTATATGAAGGGCTTTCACAGAACAGTCTGATTAATGTCTAAATCTAGACAGATTATTGATCAATTTCATTCATTTAAAAAGCGTTTCCAACAGATCAGCTGTTCTCCTGTCAGCATGTTTTTCTTCTTTTATAAAGGAGGTCATTTGTTCCCTGAAAATGTGAAATTATCTCCAGTATTCATGATCTGTTTTCACACAGCCCTCATCATGGAAATAACTAAACTAAATCTGATTCAGTCAAGTGAGGCAATATTCTTCTGAATTAGCGCACATAGTACGATGCGTACTATGTGCTCCCAGGTTGAACTGTAACACAGAAACTGAAACACAAGCAAGTCCATTTTTCATTAAATAAGTTGTTTTTTTTCTTGATGTGAACAGGTGAGACAATTTGCTAATGCAATAAGACTATTTCCTTTTAAAATAAAAATAACAAAATCACTCAATCATCGATTTCATGGACATATTTATGTTCTTAGTAAATATTGGTTAGAAGCTGAAATCAAAATATCAATGTGTGATTTCCATTTTGGTCCAGGTTTTCATATCGAAACTGTAAAAACGTGAGAAATGTGTCGATCTTTAGGAAATCTCAGCGCTCGGATTCCTGTCGGTCTTCTATCGCGGTGGGCTGAGCTAGGCTAACCCCACTAACAGCCCCCTTTGTTTAAAATGTTAGTAAAGTCCTGTTTCTAGCGAGCGCTCTCTGACACGACGAGGTTTCTTCTGCTCCTTAGATAAACAATCTAATGAAACAGTTTTCATATTTTCTCCTAGTCTAACTGTGAAAGTGAAATCTCCATCAGTGTCAGCAGGTCAAAGCTCTGCAAAAAACTGAGATCAGCCACAAATTTTGATCACTAGATTTCACTTGGAAACGTACAGAACAGCTTTTCCTCATTAAAGGAAAAGCTCCCCCCACTGTAATCCGATCCAAATAACAAAGACACAAAGATGATGTGTGAGCAGGAATCTGAGGTGAGATGATCCTCTCAGTGAGGATCAGAGTTCAGGCAGCGCGGCTATATATACTGCCGCTTCGGAGTGGTCCCGTATTACCAGGAGTGTATTTTCAGCCTTGGCCTCGGTGGTTTGTGGGCTCTTTGGGCCCTATGCCAGAGGTGAAACAGGAAGGAGAAGTGTTCTTGGAAAAGAATGAGACAACCGAGAGCCCAGGACCTGTGAAATTCCTCAATGCAGATGAAGAGCACTTTACCCCCCCGGTTTATTTTTCCGTTTCTTTTT